TAGACATGGCCAATGAGACACCTTTTTTTGGGGGTGCCGAGTTGACCATGTATCTTAGTGCACTTGTATTCATGGCGAGGCGCAGACGCCGTCTGGAGGTGACAGGTTCAATTCCCGGCACGGTAACTATAGCTTTCGATTTTTATGTTGTCTAGTGTGTTCTTCTATCTTTCTACTTCTTTCTATGAGTGCCGTTCACAATACTTTATGTTACTTGATTAATTCATAATATGTTTTTGAAGCGCTTAACCATTCCTAGTATTCAGTATGTAGGATTGAGTGAATGAGGGAGTGAGTGAGTGAGTGAGTGAGTGAGTGAGTGAGTGAGTGAGTGAGTGAGTGAGTGAGTGAGTGAGTGAGTGAGTGAGTGAGTGAGTGAGTGAGTGAGTGAGTGAGTGAGTGAGTGCCGTTCAACCCCATCGGGACTGCACGACGAGAGATAAACACTCGGTGACACAAAGTGCCACCATTCGGATAGGAATCCCCCTGGCTTGTCTCAAAAACCTCGTTCAACCGTTAGGTTATGTTAGAGCTCCCCGACAACAGCAGGAGTGAGACTTTAAAATAACACAATAGTTGCATACTATACTGGGGCAGAGTTATGTAGGATCAACACACCAAGTATGGGGTTCAAATGGGGACATATCCCGGATACCCTGTTCCAATGTATAATACCGTTTGTACAGTGACAAAGAAACTTGTAGTCCAATGTGGATGAGACCACAGGAGAGAAAAAACGCTAGTCACAGTGATACAGAGGCTCCAGTGTGTGTGTGTGTGAATGTGTGTGAGCGCGCAGGGGCGTATGTTTGTACTTACTGAACTCGGACTATTCCAACAGTCTTGAAGGTTGTCTTTGCCCATTCACGTTTAAATTTAAAAAGAAATTCATTTCTATGTTTATTTTTCTTATTTGTTGATATCGCTACTCGTTACTGACCCATGACCTTGTTTATTTGTGTGTTTGTGTGAAGCTGACTGGCAACAGTATCCGGAACATCTCCGCTTACGTGCAGCAGCATGATCTCTTCATCCACACACTCACAGTCCGCGAGACTCTCCGCTTCAGAGTAAGTATTGTCACCCAGCTTCTGAGTTGAGTGCATGGTGTGACACTGTGAGCTACGAGTGTTTTTCGTTGGCACAGGAGCGGAGCAACAATGGGGTGACCCGTTTGCTATGATGCTGAAACTAGGATTACCAGATTACCAGAAGTATTGCCTGGTTTAAGGTGTCCCAGAAGTCCTGCGGAACGTTATAAATCTAAAACTCCCGTTCGTGTAAGTTGTTGAAATTTGGTTTGTCTTTCGGCTTTTTTATATATTGTAAATGTGAACAAACAGGGAGTTTTCAATTTACCTTTAAGGGGCTGCGTGGTCTTGAGGTATGGTGTCCGCATCCAGTGCTGGAGGTTCCTGGTTTAATCCCCGGTAAGGGCTGGGTTTTTTTTCCACGTGGACTTGGACTTCTAGTATTTCCCCCTGGTCTCTGGGTAGTGGAATCGGACGCCCGTGTGCATTGTTGTGCACGTATAAAAAATACCTTGGCAGTCGGAAATTGAAAAGAGTAGCCTCACGGCGCGTCCGGGGCAAAATGTGGAGTTATAAATCTACCAAAGTATTTCAGGATTCTCGCCTGTGCTACAGAGTCTGTGCACTGTGCTGAGTTTTTTTGGACTCAGATTTGAGTTAGAAGAAGAGCAGAGCACTTGTTGGTTACACCCGTGTGCCATGATGTTGATCCGTTGTTCAAAACCTCAAACCTCATTTTGCCGTATTCGCGCAATAAAAAAAAAAAAAAAAAAAAACAGATGCCGATTCAAAGCAGACAGTTGGCATGTCTACTGTAACCTAAGTAAATTGATAAAGGGGAACTTGATCAAAATGCACACATGTCATAGGCGTTCCACTCTCTGGTGGTTATCTCCAGTATAAGTCTGCCATGAGTTGCGGATTTTCTATTGACTGGGGAATAGGCTATCAGAATAATCTCCACACATCTATTCCCACGCGTAATGATTTTCAAACAATCTTCACACGTGTGTCAATTACTGTACATACTATTTTTTAGGGGTTCAGAAACTATTAGTCAAACAAACATGAGGAACATAAACATCATGAAACGGCTCATATACAGAATGTCGCTCCCATCACAACCGGTTTGGGGAGGGGGAAAAACAAGGGGGGGGGGGGGGGACAACTTTATCCATCTCCAGCTTTCCTGCTTCATGCACTTGCCTTTCCAAGGTGTTCTATGACTTATGTTAATTTTGGTCTTGGTCAGTCCCTGCCGCCCCCCCCCCCCAACCCCACACTCTATTACCAATTACATGTACTGTTCTTTCCAAATCATTGGGACATGTGATACGGTTAGAATATGTCGGTTCTCGAAACGCGATGCTGCTTACTTGCCAATTTTATTTTATGTTCATTCAGGTTTTTTTGTGTGTTGAAAGGATTGTATTATGATTGTATACTGACTGATTGTACTGACAGATTGCAACATGTGTAGTGTATTTTATCTGTCTAGGCATTGCTAAGGATGGACAAGAGACTTGATAAAAGAGCGCGACTGGCAAGAGTCGAAGAAGTCATAGCAGAGGTGTGTATTAACAAATGAACAAGGAGGAAAACCATGCAATTTTAACAATATTTCAAAAGGTTAATATTAGTAGCACCTTTTGAAATGCAGTTATAACAATGGATTCTTCTTTTTTCTTCTTCTCTTCCACTTTGTACCTCATCGAAGTGTCAGAGGGAGATGTAACATTCGTTGATGAGCTCTGTCAAGAGCACTATTAAGACTGATGTTCATTTCTGTAAGGCTGTTCTTAATGCCATCACTCCATATTTTCCGAGGTCTTCCACTCGCTCTATATCTGTTGTAACGTTTTAGTGTGGCTCGCTGTGGCAGATAGTAACAGGGCATTCTTGTAAGGTGTCCAAACCACTTCATTTGTTGTTCTTTGATGACCTGTAAGACTAGCTCTATTCCTAGCGTTAGTCTGATTTCGTGATTTCGTATTCTGTCTTTCTTGAAACTCTTGCAGCTCTTCTAATGATACTGATGAGAATAACTGATATGCATATTAACTGTTAACAATGAATGTTCATACTTTTCTCTCCCCCCCCCCCTTTCCGATATAATTCAAAGAATATAAATGATAAATATCATTACGTTGTACAAAAAGGAAATATTAACAACCGTCTTCATACTTCATGTCTCAAGGCTTTTGCAGAATGTTGAGAAGAGGGGTAGACTCGAATACAGGTATTAACATTGAAGCGGGAAGGAAGAGTGGCAGGGAAAAGGGGGTGGGGGGGGGGGGGAGATATAGAAGGATAGTACACAGTTATAGTCAGGTTATGGTAAAAAACACTAGTAACAGAAATGGTTGGCAGTACACGAGGCAAAAAACCCGTGGACAGACATGATGGCCAACACAACATAACAATGGCTATAAGAAGAAGACAGTTACTGGTAACAGAAACTAGGCCACTTCACACCAAACACTAAAACGACAGTAGCTTTGATTTCTACAGTCAGCAGGTTCTTTGCAGAACGTCTATCACGTCTGGGCACGCTTGAAAGTTTTTCTTCCTCTAGCCTTTCTCTAGCCCTATGTGCTTTCATAGCCAATGCGTCTTCAATGTCTTCTCTCCACTTTGGCCTAGGTCTGCATGTGCCTCGTTTTCCGGAAACTGTACCCTACCCACATCACGGTTCTCTCCAGACTACTACGAGGTTTAACATGACCAAAATACCACAGCTTTTGGGACAGGATGCTGTTTAAGAGCCATTTCTCTTAGATCATGCAGGTCTTACCTCTTAGCCTACAATATTTATTTTACCTCATGTCGGTGTTTCTCTTCTTCTTGGTCCATGGTATTCTAAGCATTTTATTGAAGCATTCCAAGCTCCCATTTTGTTCTTTGATGATTGAGAAAACATACATAGAAAGACAGCAAATCAAATGGTTTGCCCACTTGGAGAGAATGTTTTCTGAAGGCATAAATAAAAGGAGGAGAGGGACGTAGAGCAAGAGGTAGAACAAGAACATATGGAAGGATAACATCAGAGAAACTCTACAGTACCACGATGTGTCATTCGTCAAAGCAGCCAGAAAAGCACGAAACAGGACCTTATATCTCCCTCGACACCCGAAGTGGTAACAGAGGAGATAAAGAAGAAAAAAATGTCCATGACTCTCATTAGTAAGTTGCCATGAGAAAGATGCATGACCTCTTAATGTTTAACTCGCTTGCAGGTGCTGTGCCAGAGGTTCTTCATGCTCTTTAGTCTCTGAATTGCTAAAAAGAATCTCCTTCTTCTAGCCTCTTTTGTGTAGTCGCCATTGTTATTCACATTTGAGCCTAAATATTCAAAATCTATGACATTATCGATTACTTCGTTTCGATTTAATGCGTTGCTGGTGCGCTGTCTTCATTAGTAACATTACTTAAATTATTACACTGAAACTGTTGTTTGTGCTAGAATGGCAGCATCTATGTCTACTAGCTTGTCTGTCTCTGTGGGAGATGACATTGTTTCTCAGTGGATCATAACCTTCCTAGTGGCCTTCATCTATACCTGCTGGCCTGACCTGGCGGTGGTTCTGAATTTTTCAAAAGGGGGGAAGTTTTTCAGAATTAACCTGGAATTCTAGACCATTGAATCTAAAGTGGGCACGATGAAATGTTTTGGGAGGTAAACATGACTGGCATGATGCTGACCACATACAAGTATCGAGTGCCAGTTTGTCTCTAGAAATATGGGCTTTGCATCGTTTTTCTAATTCGACTCTTTGCAGGAAAAAAATAATTTTACCTATTTTTTCTTCTTCTTATATAACCTAAACATAGTATATATAAATATAGTCTTAACGTTACACCATGAAATAATATTTACGATATATTTAGCCTTTCTTTAGATGACTACGATAATGTATCACAGTCTGTACTTTAGATGGCTACATTAATGTATCACCGTCTTTACTTTAGATGGGACTAATTGGTTGCGCCGACTCCCGAATTGGCGCGGCACATGGAACAAAGAAGGGAATCTCCGGTGGTGAAAGAAAAAGGCTCGCATTCGCATCGGAAGCTTTGACGAATCCTCCAATTTTCTTCTGTGACGAGCCAACATCAAGTCTGGACACCTTCATGGCACAGAGCATTGTGCAGACATTGCAGGTAGGTTTCTGCGGTATTCCTTCTGCATGTTAGTTTTGTTTCAAATTTGTATACGGGTAACTCTAATGAATCAAACTGGTCTTGTGCCTAGTGAATTCGGTACTTTATTAATATCCTACCCCAGATGCAGTCACAGAACAGTCCAACATTTTAGAGGGTGGTAAGACTGGGTCGGCTTTCTGATGCTTTTAACGACTCCAAAACATCTAGAACTGGCCCTAAGCCCAACCCACCTACGTCCCACGAGAGAGTGCAGCCTAGGTCCCATGACTGCATGCAGCGTATCTACCACCCCCTGAAATATTAGACTGTCCCATAACCTCCTGTTTGGGGTAGGATATAAAAAAGCACTATGAATTCATTCATCAATTATAAACGTTTGTATCTAAACTACTCAAAAGGTTTAAATCAGATCGTCAAGTCGAGCCAGATCCACCCAGCCTTGTTATTTGGCTTGTTGCGTTCTCCCAGTTATTAATGATTTTGCCTGATCCGGCGTGTGCTCTTAGCCAGAAGGCCGTTAAGAATGTTTCTTACAAGAGTGGCTCTGATGCTGAGTCCGGTTCATCAAGGGTTTCGAGGACGTAGATAGGTAAAGACAAGTTTCTGACATGTGTCGTTGCGACGCTGAAACTAATAGCGTTACGTCATCCTACTAATGGACAGCAGTCATTAGTCAGTCAGGTGACATCTCCAGTGAAGGTTGGCTGTAATAGATCTACAAATCCCACTTCTTTCGTTTTGACTGTACATTGTCACAGACCGCAGTTTGTCTATCTCTTCATTTTGCTCTCTCACCTGTATCACGGAATAATTCTTGCTCTCGACGTTTTATTCCTGTATAGTCTTTGAACGATAATTTTATCTTTTAAAAGTTGGCGACAGGCTGCACTTATTTCTTTCAACAAGCTGTTTTTTTTTTCCGTTTCCATTTTCGTCGGAACCTTTGTATTAGAAGTGTCGTAAAAAGAGTTGCATTATTGTTGGTTTATTACCCTTAAGTCATGTTAGGCTATGTTATGTTATGCCCTTCGCTTGGGTGCATGGACCTCATAATCATGTGATATAGCCCAGAGTTCTTGCGATTTCACCGGTGCTCTTTAATGTGAATGCAGGCAAGATTGCAGAACTTGAAGCATTGGGTGTTAGAAAGATGTTGACATTTGCTGATGATATTCTTGCATACAGGCAAAAAAATGATAGACAACGGATAGCCCAAGAGCTGCTGGCAACTGTAAACAGAGTAACTGACTGGTGTACAGAAATGGGTGCTGTCATCAACTCAGAAAAGGCGGCTGTTTTGTTGTGCTATCTGGACAATAGAACTGCAAGAGCTATTGTTCTAAGCTTCACAATTAATAACAGTAGCATCAAAAGAAAAAGCAAACTGAGGTACCTGGGTATCTCGATAGAAGCCTGTCCTATAGGGATCACGTGGAGGCAGATGCAGTGAAATGCCAAAAAGGACTCGATGCTCTCAAGATTATGGCAGCAATGTACATTGAACAAAGAATGCTATTAACAATGTTAGAGCATATGATCCTGTCAGTGATAGATTGTGGACTTGGAATGCTTACCATATCAAAGAGTCAGCTGAAAAAAACTAGAACGCATAAAGAATGAAGTCATGTGGGTAATTCTGGGATGCCACAGAGATACCCCGGTTCAATGTATGCGATATATACTTGCACCGCCTACTATTGCAGATAGGCTCAAAGTTCTGCAGGCAAAGTCCTATCTCAGAGTATCTGTAAACAAGAAACACCTCCTGCATGAAGCTCTGGGTAGAAAGAAGGGTCATAGACCGAAAAGAGGAAGGTCTTTGACAGCGCAAGCTGAAGACACAACTTGGCATGTGTGCAAGCTTGATAAACTGAGTGAGGAGAGGAGTGGATCAAGATGTCCGAACATGTTTCAGAATTGTGTAGGGTTCTAATCACTTTAGGCAGTGAATGCAGAGACTTCTCAGCTGGTGCTGCAGAATCAGAAGTTCAACGAATCATCATGGTGGTCTGAAGAGAATGATGCCAGGAGTGAGCACGGAATATGGCTAACGCTCAGTAGTTAGTGAAGGAGCGAGACGGACATACAATCGTACTGTTATTGACACCATCGGAAATGGAACTCTCTGTTTGCCACTCAAGATGTGTAGCGTTTATGGGAATTTTCAGAGCGCTATGACGTCTGTTCATAACTCATAACTCAAGTGGTAAATAGACATAGTAAATAGTCATATCTGTTGGTGAACCATTTGAACCCGATATTACAATTTTTGACCTGCAGTGTGCAATTTCTAAAGCAGATACGCATATTTTCCATGTGTCAGTATCTGAAGCTGTGTAGTTCCACATTTCCAAAATATACCAGTTCACATAGGGTTTGTTTGTTAAGATACTTTTTTGTGACTACAAAGCATTCATCATCATCATCATCATTATCATCATCATTGGTTTCCACTTCTGACCTTAAGCTTTGTGGGTAGGGGACGTTTTCGATCCATTGCTTGGTGGGCAGCAATGGCTATTGTCATTCTGTGTCATGTGGAAGCTCTTTAACGTCATCAATCCATGTTCTCCTAGGGCGGCCTCTTGCTTTCACCGCAAATCTTTTCATGTGTAGCGCCTGCAATGATAGTTGTTCTGGCTGTATTCTTACTAGATGATCAAACCATTTGATCTTCTGTTTCTCAATGAATTTGCTGCATGACATTGCTCCTACAATCTGTCTGATAATATCATTTCTAACTTTGTCTCGGCTGCTTAAGTTGGTTAAGTTCACAGGTGTTAATTTTACCTACGTTAGCCTTTGATAATGTATAAGTCTGATTCTGGAAGCATTGACAGGATGACAAAACAAAAGTCTAAATATGTGGAAAACACATTGACGACTGGTAACGTGACCAATTATAAATACAAACTCAAGCATACGGATTTAATCAGCTGGAAGCTGAGATATTTTGGCCATGTGAACTGTTATGGTGGCCTGGAGACATCGGTTATTGAGGATACAAATGGTGGGTACAAGACACTGACGATGTATTTGTTATGAAAACACATAGAACTGGAGAACTGGCCAGAGAAAGAAATATTTTCAGGTGTGTAGTGACAAGAGTGACGTTTGGTAAAGGACTGGTTGCTTGCTGATGATGATGCGGTAAGATACTGGGAAGGATAAGCAGAAACAGAAGAATGCACGAAAATAACTTGAACAGCTTGGTAAAATAAAAATATTATAAATAACACCGTGTCATCAAAATATTCCTTTTAGTAGTGCTCCAAGTTTCAGAGCCATAAACAACGACTGGTCTTAAACTTTTTATATATTTTGATCTTGGTTTTGCGAGATATAGACTTAGACTTTAGCAGATGTTGAAGGGCATAGTATACTTTATTTCCAGAATGTATTATGGATTGCATTTCTTTCATCGGTATGATGGAGCAGTTGAAGTTTGCACCCAAGTACTCTTACGTTAAGGCGCCACTCGTGTAAAATAAATATCTGTTACCGGAAGATTATCATGACACAAGGAAAAAAAAAACATTTCTTTTCATTCATGATCTGAAAATATAGGGTGCTCGGCTCATTAACAGTGTGATCTCAGGTAACCTGAAATACTACGGTCATTGTAACCGCCATTATATTTTATAAAAACAATAACAAAAGGCACGATTCCTGTAATAAAAAGCAAAAGACCACTACGACAGGATATCAGGGAAACTCTGGGTATAACAATTTACAAGGCGTGAAAGTTCATGGTAAAATCGTTGTAAGCCAAGTGGTGTGAGAGACGTACGGGGATGGACCTGCTCTCTCTCTCTCTCTCTCTCTCTCTCTCTCTCTCTCTCTCTCTCTCTCTCTCTCTGTGTGTGTGTCGTCTTCTTCTGCCTTCTATTCCCCAATGGACATAGAACCTCAGCCAACTCACATCGTCGTTCCATCGTTCCCTTCACAATTGCATGCAGCGCTCCCGATATCCTCCCCATCTTTTTAACAGGTGCTTCTGTATGTAAAAATAGAGTAGGCCGTGCTTTTTAACTTCACCCTCTAGCTCCCTTCTCTATGTGTGTGTGTTTTTTAAAGTCTTTATTTCTATGCCCCTTTGGGTTCCAGTTCAATGACATTATAATCAAATTGTTCTCAGGTTTTCTCAACGTGTGTCCTATCCAATGCTGGCGTCTTTTCTTAACCTTTTGGTCCACTGGAACATGTTTAGTTCTCTCCCAAAGCTCTACATGGGTGATTCTGTCAACCTATTTAATTCCCTCTATTAATGACTGTTTGTAATTTATTAGTAATTGCCTTAGTTGTTCTCCGTGTTTCCGCTCCAAAAAGCAGTACTGATTTGACGTGAGTGTGTGTGTGTGTGTGTGTGTGTGTGTGTGTGTGTGTGTGTGTGTGTGTGTGTGTGATTTTTTTCACGAAATACGCTTAACTAATTTCTTAACCTATTTACAATACGCTGCTTCCTGCAATATTTGTCACATTTCAAGTTCCCCTCTGCGTTAGACTACATAACTGACCATAGACTAATTTATGCTTACACTCTTGCAGAAAATGGCTGCGAGGGGTCGTGTCATCCTTTGCACCATTCACCAGCCGTCTTCTGAGCTGTTTGCAATGTTTAACCAGTGAGTAGCCCTTCTATGTTTGCTGTGATAGCTTTCTGTTTTAAATTTCTAGTTCTCTGGGATAAAAGGACAGTGTAACAGAACAGAAATAGCATCCATATATGCGCTTATATTTTCGGTCGTCACGGTGTCCATTGACTTCTTTCATGATCGCGAACGCTGTGTTTTTAACTGGTATAGTTTTGAAAAAAAAAAAAAAAAAAAAGCAGTGGCGAAGTGTCATTGCCGCTTACAATTTTCATTGAAAAAGAAAAAAAAAATGCATTAATTTACTCTTTATTGCTTATGTTATTACAAATACGACACACGGTTTAAGACTAGAAGAGGAGCGAGAATAACGCTTGCTGCATACTTACGCCACTTGTGTAGAAACTGTAAGATGGGTAAACTACCAGTTACTAGTATTATTCTACGACGCTAGATGCGCACACGTACTATCAGCAGCCAAACGTCAAGGAAAACATCACGTGATACCATTCCTAGTGTAATTTTACCTGTTAAAACTTAACACATCGAATTGATCACCCTTTGCCACTGGAAAAAAGAACTGTATTTTAGTTAGCTTTTTTCCATGCAAAAGAACTTACTCATGCCACGTTTATTCACGCCTAACCTGGGGGCGGGGAGGGGGGGGGGGCGGAGACCTGGGGGGGGGGGGAGCGAAGAGATTTTAAATGGGCGTCAAGCAATTTTGAGAGTGATTGCATTTGTACTTGTGAAAATCTTTTACACGTACACCTTGCTGTCGTTTGATTATAAAATTTAAAAACAAATGCTACCTTTTAAACAAAACGACAAGGATATATTCTTATTTTTATGAGCAGTTAATACATCTACTTTTAAAAATTTAATCAATATGATAACCTGCGCTTTTAATTATAGATTATGAAAACATTCTAACCAAAACGTTTCTCTTTACTTTCTGTGTTTACTTGTTGCGGAATCTGTAGTCCTCCTCTTTTTAAAAGGGGCGTGGGGGGAGGAGTTGCCATATGCTCAAGGGGGTCGTGGGGTTCTTCCCATATACTAAAAAAAAAATTAAAAAAAAATAAAGGGGAGGGGGAGGGGGGGGGGGTTGGAAACCATTGCTCTGTATAGATAATTATGATCAGACGTGGCTCAGTGTTTAGCCAGAACCCTGGAACTGCGGAACTGCGATCAGGTTTCTGTTCTTTTCCTGATAAATACTTTATAATGATATCGACAGTAAACGCTGATGCCCGGGGTCAGTGGAGTAAAGACTTAAAAACATATTGCTAAGGACACGGAATTATGAAACTTTACGAAGCTTTAATTACGCTTGCAGGGTCCTGCTACTGGCTGAGGGGAGAGTTGCCTACATGGGAACTACGCAAGGAGCTCTGGAGTTTTTTAACAGGTCAGTGGCGACAAAGATCGCTTTTGTCTTTTCTGTGTTTAAAACAACTGTTATATACCGATATGTCCTAACTGTCCGAGAGTCTAGGCTTCAAATCCTCACTGAGACAGATTTGTTCTTCCAAAATTGACTTGGGTCACAGGACTATCTAGCATAAAATGAGTACCATGTAATGTCCTGGGAGGGCAAAGGTGGCCGGCGTGATGTTGACCACATCACCAATGGAGAGCCTACACAGTATGAGATCAGACTTCAATACACCCACGTTAGTTAGTTAGTCGACAGATTATCCTCATCGCACATCGAACCATTCAGCTCAAAAGTGCACGGATCCCATCCCCAGTAAATCCTGCAGCGTCTAGGTTCTGTGTTAGTTTCTTGTTCTTCTTTGGCTTCCTGCATAGTACTTTTGTCTGACCACATCCATTTTAACGTGTTATTCTTGTAGTCTGGTCATGGTTACAGATTCACTGTCATCACTTGGCTTTCGCAAAGGTCTCCCATCTTTTAGAGCATTCAGCACGGCCGACTCCAGGTTTCTATGTGCTCGAGTCAGCCTGGTCAATGACTCGTCCACCCTCCACAGTAGCTTTACATGCAAGCCTGCCAGCTTGCTTATTTCCTTGGACACCTACATGCCCTGACTTGAACATAAAACTGATATATGTTAGTTCGACAGCCTCAGAGACACCACTGTCTTCGGACCTGGCCCAACTCTACCTTTCTGAGCAAACTCATTGAATCCTTGCGAAAACATGCGCGGGTAACATGTAATGTGGATTAGAGAAAATAGTTTCTTTGCCAATGACACTTTAACATAGGTGGCCACTGAATATGGGGCATTACATATGAGACATATTTAACGATACACAAGTGTAGACAATTGTATTGTTAGATTAGGAATGAATACATCCATGTTGTATGGTTTATAGGAACCAGTTTCCCTGCCCGCGAAACTTCAATCCAGGTGATCACTACATCCTGACACTGGCTATTGTTCCAGGGAAAGAGGAAGAGAGTAGAAGACGAACAAAGGTAACAATTTACCTAAAATATATGAGTATGTGAAGCAACTGAACTGGATAAATAGAAAGACAAACAGAAATGCAGGAACACGTTAATGGTTCAACAGTCAGATAGACGGATTGGTGGTCATGTATGTGAGTGTAAAGATAAACAGGTATACAGACAGATAAAGACAAACAGCAAGAGAAATAGATAGAAATAAATAAGAAAGACGGATGGATAAATGGATGGTTAGATGGATGGATAGGTAAGTGTGTGTGTGTGTAAATGGATGCATACAGAGATCGACACAGACATACAGTTAAATATTGCAATTCATAAAAATTTACACACGTTTCATTGTTTGTATTATTTCTTACCACAGCCGCAGAAAAAAAAAAAAAAACACACACACACACAAAGAGGCGCACACGCGTATACATTAAATAGAAAATAAAGGTTATAAAGAATATAAATTTTGCTGTCACAAGTCCACTGTTTCATCGAGTGTTGTGATATATAAATTCAATCATTCTACTAGACTACATCAGCACGTTAAAATAAAATATAAACCATTGTATTTGCATCAATACATTGCAATACGCTACAATTGCTGTGCGGAGATTTTCTTGTCTGTTTTTTCCCCTCGATAATTCATTGAAGTACTGCCATCAGAAAAGAGTAACAAACATTTTAACAAGCCAGCTAAATGAAATAAAAATTATCGTCATCCTCATGTATCTTGTCATTCATGTCACTCGACAAAATTTCGATCGGTAATATTCTGGATCAATTCTATTGACGATATTAGATCTTAGATCATACAGTAATATTGATACGTAAAGTAAAGGACCCTTTTCCACTCCTTTAGGCGTATAGGGCATATAGGGCTAGACCTATATTTTATAGACCAACGGCACAAGATGGGTGATGTGGTCAGCATCACGCCGACCTCCTTTACTTCCCGGGACTGCACCCGGTACCCACTCAAGGCTGGGTCCACCTAGGAGCCAAAATACTGATACGGCTACCCCAAAAATTGCAACTGGTCTGGTTTATGGAGATGGTGACAGAGCGCTTTTGGGAGTGTTCCGTGTTATGTTGTCAACTAAATCTCAGCTCAACTCAACTCGATCGTAGATCATATAGCTTTATTTCTTTTTATTCGTTTACCTGTTTCTACTGCTAATCGCTTTCTAATGTCACAAAGTTCTCTATTGCTGATGTTTTCATAAAATAACACAACACAGCTGTTTTTTTTTCGTATTGCATTCGTTCTACTTCTATTAGCCTTTTTGACGACAATCGTTTTGGTCCCTCTGGCAGCTCAGTGTATTGGAAACATTCTTTTTAATATTTAAATATATGCTTCTTCCAAACTCTTCCGCGTTTGTTAGTTCGAAAAATCACTTCCTGAAATGTCATAAACGTATTTTAGAAGATGTTTATGCATCTCTATAGCTCTTGGAACACTGTCGTCTGGAAAGACTGAAAGGTGGCAACTGCTTGTTGAACACGTCACCTCACCCATTTCTCCCCAGCCAAGGGCATATAAACCTCCCTGTCTGTCAGTTTTTATGTAAGTCTGTCTGAACAACAGCACCCCTCTTCCCCGTATGAGTTACGGGGCGCCAATGTATACATAAAAAAGAATAGAACAACAGCCCACCCCTCCCCCTTTTTTTTCCATAACGAGCACGTCGTAAAAGCAGATTAATTAAGAGTGTTTACGAGTGCATCTGTCTGAGAGGCAAGGAACTAACAGTCTGCATAGAAGTAAGCAAGATCTGTGAAACTGAGGTGCATGCAAAACTGAAGATTCTTTGCAACAAATTCATAACAACTAGAACTTTCCACGAGGTTTTACAGCCGGTGAACACTAAAAAGATAAACAAGAAGAACACAGTAGGGCTGCTGTTACATCCTGTTCGTCATAGACACTCGTAGGAAATGTGATGCTACCAAAACGCCCCCAGCTGTTAACAGCGTGCCTCACCTCAGAATAACTTACTGTAAATGACCAAGCGAATTAGTTTTAATCCTTATTTCTATAGTCAAGGTAAAGTAAAGGACCTACAACAGTGTCATTGCGTGGCTGTGTGAGGTAGTCAGGGTCAGGCGAGCAGCCACGAAAAAAACCTCGGGAAGGAGGCCATCAGTATTCTTCCCCCCCCCCCCCAAACACCCTCCCCCGAGTAAGCGAGTTAGAATGCTTGGATCACATGGTAGCCAAATTACACTGTACGGACTTAATAAAAACGATACTACTTCTACTACAAAAATAAACCAGACTTGATGTTTCCTCAAAAATGGCCTTGGCTCACAGTTCTACCCAGCCTTAAATGTGTACCAGGTAAAGTCTTAGGAAGTAAAGGCGGCCTGTGTGATGTTGACCAGATCACCTACCGAGTGCCGATTGGTCTTTTACAATTAGGTGTCGCTCTACATGTTCAATACGGCTAAAGGCACGGAAAAGGGTTCTTTACTTTACCTTCACTATAGAAATAAGGATTAAAACTAGGGCTGTACCGAAAAGCGATTTTCACTATTCGGCCGAATACGAATAGCTGGACCAACTATTCGGCCGAATACGAATACGAATAGTGAAACATCATCATCAGGTGCTTTACCGACTGGTATGGGCGATTATGCCTCGCCACAATCTGCGATCTCCTGCAGCATGTATTAGTTCGTGTGCTGACACACCTCCATGCCATGCAACAAGACTGTCAAGAATCTTCTCCTTCCTCTATCCCTCCTTTCACATATCTTTTCATTGGTCACAACATGTTCTATTTTCCCTCATGTTATAACATGGCCGAAAAATGATGACTTGTCTCCTTCTGATGTCTGTGAGGAGTCTTCGGGCTCCCTCCTCTATCAAAACTTCTTGGTTTCTTTTGGCTGTCCATAGTATTTTAAAAACATTGTTCTGTAATACCACATTTCTGAGCACCGCTCGCCTAGGTTCGATGTTTGTTCACTAGTCTTCTTGTAGTGAGCACAGCCCGATCCAGTTCATTGCTAGTTTATCAACCTTCTTGTAGTAAGCACCGCTCGCCTCGGTTCGATGTTCGTTCACTAGTCTTCTTGTAGTGAGCACTGCCCGACCCAGTTCATTGCTGGTTTACCAGCCTTCTTGTAGTAAGCACCGCTCGCCCCAGGTCGATGTTCGTACACTAGTCTTCTTGTAGTGAGCACCGCTCGCCCCAGGTCGATGTTCGTTCACCAGTCTTCTTGAAGTAAGCACCGTTCGCCCCAGTTTGATGTTCGTTCACAAGTGTTCTTGAAGTAAGCACCGTTCGCCCCAGTTTGATGTTCGTTCACCAGTCTTCATGTAGTGAGCACTGCTCGCTCCAGTTTGATGTTCGTTCCCCAGTCTTCATGTAGTGAGCACTGCTCGCTCCAGTGTATTGCTTGTTCACTAGTCTTCCTGTAGTAAACACTGCCGGCCCCAGTTCAAAGTCGGTTCACCAGTCTTCTTCTAGTGAGCACTGTTCACATGAACAGCATCAGTAATTATATACACTGTATTATATATTATAAATATATAGACTGTACACCAGTCTTCTTGTAGTGAGCACTGAACGCCCCAGTTCGATGTTCGTTCACCAGTCTTCTTGTAGTAAGCACCGCTCACCCTAGTTGGATGTTCGTTTACCAGTCTTCTTGTAGTAAGCACTGCATACCGCGGTTTGATGTTCGTTCTCTATGCAGGATATTTTAAGCATTGTTCTGTAATTCCACATCTCTGAGGTTTCAAGAAATTGTTTGGCCTGCCTACCGATTGTCCAGGACTTACAGCCATAGGTTAACACTGGATGTATGTAGCAAGCAAGAATTCTTTTTCTAACCTTCAATGACAAAGATAAATTGCATAAGATGTTCTTCATTTTATAAAATGCAGCTTTTGCCTGTCCTATTCTGTTTCATATTTCAGTCATGCATCTTCCATCTGATGTTATCCATGTGCCCAGATACTTAAATTTCCGTAATTGTCCCAAAATAAAACCATTGACTTTTATTACACATTTAAGAGTAATTATTTTTTTAAATACCACCATCACTTCTGTCTTCTCACTATTCAAACTGAGGCCCATTCTTCCACTTTCGTGTATAAAATAGAGCTGAAAACACCCATAATGTCAAATCTACGCTGACATTTTACTTCACAAAATGTAGTACAGAATAGTGAACATTTAAATACATTTCATGTTTTGCATCCTTCAGCCAGTCAGTCTGTGGTAACTAATACCTAGGAATGAAAGTATTCTTAGTTTTATAACAAGTAACTAAACTTGTAAATTGTCACTGACAGCTTAGTTATTTCATGAAAGCGGCATTAGCTTTCCACACACACACAAATCGTTCCATGTTGTCAGCATTAAAGCAGCTTCTTGTCTCATTGAAAGTATTTCCAGATTTACTAAACAGACGTTCACTTGGTACGCTCATAGGTGGTGCACAGAGATAACGCTGGACAGTATGAACCAAGGTGGGAAATCTTGATATGTTTAATTTCTACCAGTCCAGGAACGGGTGTAAGGTAACCACTATTCGTATTCGGCCCGACCGCAACTATTCGGCCGAATACCGAATAGTTATTAGGTTCACTATTCGGCCCCGAAGCGAATACGAAGCGAATATTCAGTACAGCCCTAATTAAAACTAATTCGCTTGTTCATTTACAGTAAGTTAAGTTAGTTAATCGACAGATTATCCTCAGGAACCCATCTTTATTATATCCCTCAGCGCGTGGCGACTGATAACAACAGTTTTGTGTTGGTTAACCATTCTTCTGTGGCTATTTGTTTAGTGTTCATGTTTGGCGACACCTCTTTTGATCTGAAGTTCTTGTAGTCTTCTGAGTTTTGCCGATTCAAGGTCGTCTCCTGAATCATCTTTTCGTCCTGCCTCCTTGAGAGCGTTGACGATGTCAGCCCGGTCCCGTGCCTACCGCAGCTCTGACAGCAAGCAAATTTGCTAGTTCCTCTTACCCCAGAGTTTTCTGGCCAAAAAAAAAAAAAAAATGAAACTTATTCCTTACAGGCGAGATTTCCTCAGCGACTCCAACCATTGGTCATTTATAACTATATTAATTGTTTATTGATTAACAAGATCCGTATATGCCACCTATTTTATTTATTTAGTCAATCAATCTGTCACGGGCAGGTAATGGATACAAAAGGGAAGCAACTGAAAACCTTTCAGCACTGGTCTCCACTTTAACTGCGCTAGGTAGAAAATGCCACTATATGCACAATGGCTAGGCTAGTCCGAACCATATGGGTACTGGTATAACAGAATAAACTGCAACTTACTGTGAGCATTCCATAAAGAAAAGTCTTGTCCATACACAATCAGGCGACACTCTACAATCTTTGGTCTTGTTATGAGCGGGAGAAAACTGGAGTGCATCGTGAGATGGGAAAGTTGGAGAGGAACAGGGACAGAGGGAGACCGACACATAAGATGCTGGACAGTTTGACATTCATGGCATGGAAGATTGTCTGTGTTCAACTTCATGGCATGGAAGATTGTCTGTGTGTAACTTCATGGCATGGAAGATTGTCTGTGTTTAACTTCATGGCATGGAAGATTGTCTGTGTTTAACTTCATGGCATGGAAGATTGTCTGTGTTTAACTTCATGGCATGGAAGATTGTCTGTGTTTAAACTGATTGAAAGTACACGAGACAGAAGATTGTGCGTAGACATGACTACCAACGCCACACAGCATGGACTTTGAAAAAACGAAGAAGAAGAAGAAGAAGAAGAAGAAGAAGAAGAAAAGAAAATCTGTCACTTCTTTTAGCAAGTGACTTGATTTTTTGGATCATCTCTTATCATCTCTATTAGCGTCCATCCTTTCATATATGTTCTGTGCTTGTTTTCATAATATACGATCTATGTTTTTCTGAGTAGGATAAATTTCTGTATTTTGTTCTGTCAGCTGACTAAAGATATAGTTAAATACACTTTCTACTTGTAATTTCAGCTCAATGAAGTGACGGGCGAGTCAAGGTACGTATGTATTCGTTATCAAAATGTGGATTTGAGTAAACCAGCACTGACAAGCGAATAAATAAGTTATAAACTAAGGACAGGATAAATTAAAACATTAGGCAGACAAGGAAATGTAATGTTAATCATAAAAGTAAACATACTTAAGAGAAGGAAATTAATAATAATAATGCAAAAATTAGGGTTGTATGGGGACGCCGAAAAAACACAGCAAATGAAAATATCATATACATAATGTTATTTAATTTCCACATAATAAATTTACATAAAAAGTAAAAGATCTGGTTAGGTCTTTAAGACGTTTTAGGCAATATCGAGCTAGGCCCTCCCTTCCCCCAGCCCCATTTGTTTTATTGACCAATCTGCACTGGGAGAATTGTAGGCCAGCATGACACTTGCCGCCTTTACGTTCTTTGAAATTTCCTGGTACCCACTGAAACCGGATTAACTGTAGCAGTAAGAATTTACCATATCATATCTAGCGACTCAGGCACCTGGCCAAGGACAAACACAGGCGATCATGAATTCTCTCTATCATCTTTTATTTTAATGAATTTAATGTAACATTTATGAGTATTTTGTTTGTGTTCTTCTTCTCTACCATTCGAGCCTTTGAGGTTCACTGCTGCAGATATCACACATCTACTTCCATCTTCTTCTCATTCTCTTGGTGACTCCAAGTAATTGTGGATCTCTCCTCCATTGTCGTCGTCTGCGTTTTGGTCTACTTCCGTTCAGTACTAGTCTAAAAACTGTGGTTTTCAACCAGGGAAAAAGGGGAATGGTTGCAACGAAGTTTCAAACTGGCATAAAACATTTTTTAGATTGAGTGCGTATGTACTTGTTATAATCTATTACACTGCCATTCCCATCCCCACCAGTTTAATTATACATAAAATATGTTTAAAACTTTTTATAACACAAAAGGCCAGGGGCATTTTTTATTTTCATGAGCAGATTTTACATCTACCCGTAAACAAATCTAATCATTTGGAGAACACTGCAATTATAGTAGATTAAAAACACATTCTTACTAAAACTATCAGGATATTTTCTATCTCTTCCTTTTTGTTCTCTTTTTAATTACACAATTTTAAAGTTATGGCGGATTGGGTGCGGCGGTGGGGGAGGAGGGAGGGGGGAGGTGGGGGGGGGGGGGGTTGTTTAGGAGTCTTGCCATATTAAAAAAAAAAGGTAAGGTTTAGAAAAAAAAAGTGGAAAAGCCACACTGGTCAGAAATATGGAGTTAAAAAGTATAGAAGAATACAGACCCTCATTGCATGAAGATAGGTTCTGTTGTTTTGCGCTTTTAATCCCATTGGTTAATACAGTAAAACTTCTGTTAAGCGTTTACCGGTTGGACCAGAGCTATGAAGGATACCCGAAAAAACGGATACAAGAAATCGCGTCATACATAATGCACAGTAATGTGAGTTTGCAGAAGAGTTGGGATGAAAAAGGAACTACCAGTAAAATCCTTTTACAGGGAATAACACTTACATATTGTATTTAATTTTACAAAATGTTAAACATAAACTTGAATATAAGAGTTGTAACATACCTAAATGAATTGTATGTTACTTAAAAATAATCTGTCATCCTGTGTCGTTGCGACTCAGTCATTCTGTTCGCCATTGTTCCGTACCTTACGCAGAAGTAGGATGTGTGTTGCATTTGCGTCGACTTGCATTCCCAAATAGTGGATGGACTTTTATAACATGGTTTCTGCTTCTGAGTTTTGAGTAGCTACTTGTTTGTAGGTGTTTGGTTAAGAGCTGACACATAATACTCATCAATATTTTTAGGCTGCTTCAATAGAAGTCACACTAGAAACTTAAAAAAAACTTTCATAACCGTTCTAAATTTCAAAGCCTCAATTTATTTTGTCACTTTCCAACCAGTCTGTTACTTCTTCTGACGTAATGTTTTTTTCCCCGACTGTTTAGTCCTACATTGTAACACAGTTTCGTAGGAATAAACTCACAGGGAGCAAGTACAGCAGGGATCTACCAGTCATCAGTAGAAGTTATCCTCGTCGACAAGTGTTTCGGCCCACGATTCTCCTAGACACTTTCGGAGGTGGGCCCACCTTAGTTCATGAAGCTCAGGGCTGGTACCCTGCTTTACGAAATTACCGGATGGTGTTTTCCTTTCGGATAGGGACAAGACGACTTGGGTGTTTGCAGAAGGTACTGTGAGATAAGAAGTCGTCACGGCAGCCTAATTAAAGCAGTCAGCATACCTGGACGACCGAGCATTAATTAATTAATTAATCTTTGGACGATTTTGAATATGTCTGCCTGTTGATATTCGTGCATTTTATTTAAAAAGACGATGATGGATAACAGAAAATATGGTTTAAACGAGTGTCGGTTTATCGTCGTTTTACTGTAGTCATTATGCGATTTATATTGTAATACTTTATACTGTTTAACACTCGCAGATACGCTTCATCGATTCTGACGCAATGGACTAACCTATTTTGGAGGTCATGGACATCACAGTACCGAGACCAAATGCTGTTCTGGACTAGGTTGTTTCAGACTATTGTAAGTATACCATGGAACAGGTATCTCATCATGTGCAAGATTCTTCGTAGAACATCGACTTCGTCAAATTCCAATGAAAAGAATCATGATCCTTTGACAGTCCTCCTCCTTGTGTCCTTTTTAGGTCTAATGTCACTGGCATGGCTGAACTATGGGCGCTACTACAAGGAAAACACTCTGGTCGTAGGGGAGGGTGCCCGAGGGTCGCTTAAGCTATGTTTAAATGCACAATAATAATTATTGAATTATTCAGTAAAGGGCAAATAAATATAATACAATATATCAGATAAGATTAAATGTATATACAAATACTTAAAAAAAAGAGCTTCTCCACATGGTGAGGGAGGACTTAGCCCCCTTGAAAATTTTCTAGGAGAAGAGGGCTCCGTGCACTCGTAATAATCATTGGAAAGGCTCAGTCTTCCTTACCCCCCCCCCTAAACAACCCCCCACCCCCACACACACAACACAATAACTGGGGATGGAGCGCTCAAAATGCCTGGGTCTCCAGGTTCCGGCACCTTTGGTCAGAACTTTAGTTCTAGCCTGCCATTGCCTGTATTTCCAAAAGCAACTGTCATCACTGCGGTGTTTCATATGGCTGGATTATGCTAGTTTCTGAGGTCCGGTGCTGTTAACGAATCAGTTTTCTTTTATGCTAAGATCTTGCAGAATGTTGAAACCACCCCCCTTCCCCCCCCCCCCCATATCCCCGCTTCTGGTATGTCAACCTTTATTGGGCCTTACAAACTGGTTCCATTTCATGTTGGTAGGATCATTTTCTTTGCCTGTAGATGCCTCTGTCAGCACCCAATTTTTGTCTATAGATTACACATAAAGAATCTGAGCAGTATGTTTTAAACTTTGTGGCACCGTCGAAGATGCAAAAGCGTCAAATCTGTGACAAATGCTTTATCAACCATGTGACAAATGCTATATTAACCATGTGACAAATGCTATACATATTTTTATAAGGTAGTTTGTCTAATTTGAAATCTTAAAGAGAGAGACAGACAGAAAAAGGGGGGGGGGAGGGAGGGAGGGAGAGAGAGAGAGAGAGAGAGAGAGAGAGAGAGAGAGAGAGAGAGAGAGAGAGAGAGAGAAAGAGAGAGAGGGGATAGCGAGAAAAAGGGGTGGGGGAGAGAATGAATAAGTCAGCCAGAGAAAAAAGAGAGTGAGAGCCAGACAGACAGACAGACAGACAAACAGACATACAGAGAGAGAGAGAGAGAGAGAGAGAGAGAGAGAGAGAGAGAGAGAGAGAGAGACAGCGAGAGAGAGAGAGAAGGGTGGGGAAAGAGAATAAATAAGTGAGCCAGAGAAACAGAGAGAGTGACAGACAGACAGACAGACAGACAGACAGACAGACAGACAGACAGACAGACAGACAGACAGACAGACAGACAGACAGACAGACAGACAGACAGACAGACAGACAGACAGACAGACAGACAGACAGACAGACAGACAGACAGACAGACAGACAGACAGACAGACAGACAGACAGACAGACAGACTGGTAGTCATGCATATTTCCAGACTGACAGGTATATTACTCTCACACACAACATGTTCATAATAACATACATTTGCGACTGTAAACTATATTATGTACATTGTACTACATTCCGGATTACATTATATTTAAAACAAAATCACAACCCCGTTCAACCTGCGTATGGCAGCGAACCGCCTGCATTAAATATTCGTCACTTTATGATCAAGTTGAAAGTGCAATGTTGACTGCAGGGAACTCATTTATGAAATTTTACGGTAAAACAGCATTAACACGGGTGACGAAGTGGTCAAGCCGTTTGCCTCACGCTCTGAAGGTCATGTTTAACGGCAGTGCCGTTTAGTTCACGAGTACAATTTTTACAGAGATCCCTGGACATTGTCGACGGAGCTACGGGGGTTGTGCTCTGTGCGACGATCTCGGAGGCAGCTAGCTTTTCTGCGGAGAGAGATCGAGTCATATGGAATAAACTAAGGTGCAATGAAGTCGATCCTCTCACCGTTACTTTTACCTCATGAACACGAACTTGCTTAAGAAAGAAGAATGCACGGTTAACACCAACGAACAACATTTTGGTCCCGGCAGAAACAACATTATAATAAGTTCACGGTTAGCACTAGTCTTTTAGCACGAACTCGATTTTCTGTCTCTTGGAATTATTGTTAACCAGGTTTTCTTTATTTGCTTCAACATACACTATCTCTTGGTCAGACAAAATCTCTTGAATCTGCTTTCTCTATAAGTGACCGGGTTACCCCATTGGCTTGCCGGTAGACGACTTCGTCGCCGGTCGGGACAGTATCCGTGTCTGTCTCCTTTGATCGCATCAACACTGCAAGAGTTTTTTTCAGGGCTACTTGGGGACGAGCAATGCTAAGCCACTTTAATCTAGTCACAATTATAACCTAAAGCCCCCCCCCCCCCTTTGGGAATGCTAGCTGAACATGACGATTTTTTTTCGCAAAGCCAGCCAAGACAATCTGTTTTCTCGTTTTTCTTACAACACTGTCTAGTTTTAGTCTGCAATCATTGACCCAATTAAGTAAAATGTCTACGTTTGTAGAAAATATATATATATATATTGTCAGATTTCCCAGTTCATGGGTTCAATTCTATTTATTTTCCAGTTCATGGCTTTAATCCTGGGTCTAATTTACTTTGACCTGGACATTAGTCAGAAAGGTGTGACAGACATCAACGGCGGATTGTTCATTATTGTCACAAACATCAGCTTCACCAACATGTTTGCTGTGCTCACGGTAGGTGGAGCCGAGTTCGCTGTATTTAGGCCACACATTTTAAATTAGTAATAGAGAATACAGAAGGTGTAGTGGAGTTCACTGTGTTTAGGCAGTATAGATGAAATTATTCATAAAAAATCGGTGTGTCTTTCGAAGTCGGAGTCCATCTGCCCTATATACAAGAATCAACAATCTGCATACAAATAAGCCAGATCTGTAAAACGGATGTACATGCAAATCTCAAGTTTTGGGAACAAGACCAAAGTCCAGAAGTGGACGAACAACCAGAGTGTTACCTCGGAGTTAACAGCAGTGGAACGCTAGGAAATAGAAGATGTCGTGGCCAAAAATATGAAAATTACCCCTTTCTGATATCTGTGATTATTTGTCTTTCCTTTGTGGTGGCTGTTCAAGTATTTGTTCTGTATAATGACATCTCTGAGGCCTCAAGTAATCGTTTGGCTTTTTAAAAAATTGTCGGGTATTTTTAGTCATATAGTGATAATAATTCCTTGTAACATGGAGGAATTACCTTTTGCAAACTCAGTTTATTTCTAGCAAGGGTGACCACATCGGTAAAGAAGCTAAATTTTTGTACACACTTGATTTGGACACTGCAGCAGTCTCATTTTCGAGTGCTTGAATTTCTATTTCTTTTATTTGCCAATACCTAACATAATGTAAATATTACTAATGTAGGGTGCTGCGTGGTCTCGACACATGGCCTCCACCTCGAGTACTAGAGGTTCCGGGTTTAATCCCCGGTAAGGGCTGGGATTTTTTTCACATGGACTTGGACTTCTAGTAATTCCCCCTGGTCTCTGGGTAGTGAGATCGGACTCCCGTGTGCATAGTTGCGCACGTAAAAACTTCCTTGGCAGTTGGAAATCAAAAAGAGTAGCCTAACGGGCAAAATTTTGAGTTAAAAACTACTTAAAGTAATTCAGTATCCTCGCCGGTGCTACATAGCCTGCGTACTGTGCTGAGCTGCTTCGGTCTCATACTTGAGTTAGAAGAAAAAGGTAGCACTTATGGGTTACTACCCGTATGCTATGATGTTGATTCGTTGTTCAAAAACCGTAAAACATACTAATGTAATTTTTTTTTTAAAAACAGTCCTTTCCAGAGGAAATGGGCATCGCCATGAGAGAATATGGATCAGCACTGTACAGGATAGACAGTTACTTCTTCACAAAAACTATATCAGAGGTTTGTTTCGTTAATCTTGTGTATTGGCGATCACAGCTTTTCTCAGGTATAAAACGAACTGGTAGGCCCGATAACAAAGTGGCTAATGTTCTTGTCTGCTGGACCGGTAAGTGTGTATCCCGATAGAGGCGGGTGTATAAACAAGTGTCCTAAACTTCCAGGTCGGCTCTGTGGCTAAGTCGATGCTAACGCTTCGAAATGCTGGGATGCCGGGTTCGATTCATACTACAGGCCATGCACCTTGCGTTGGTTTTGACAGTGGTATCAAGAAAGCCAACCGTACAGAAAGAAATGGCAAACTACTGGACGTAAATTTGCCTAGAAAAACCACACAGCAGTCAGGGGCTGTAGGAGTTGGTTCTGCTACGTCCTGTAAAGGATACGCAACTAACCTAACCTAACCTAAACTTTCCAGACCAAAATGGATACTTAAAATGGCTTAGATTGTCCTAGAAAGTCTTTCAGTATAGTTTGCGGGATCTGTTTAAGGGAGAAAAAAGAACAGACCCACTTTCACCTAACATGCAAGTCATTAAAGGTAAGTTATTAGATGCATTTGATTAGTTCGTGTGTGTCTGCCCGTGAAGCAAGGAGCCAGCAGTCTACAGTTAAATAAGCCAGATCTACAAAATAGATGTGCACGTACAACAAATGTGCACGTAAAACAAATGTGCACGTAAAACTGAAGTTTCAGAACAGGACCTGTCCAGAAGTGGATAAACAACCAAAACTTTCCACCGGAGTTTACAGCCTGTGAACGTCAAAAAGATAGAAAGAACACATGACAAGTAAAGCCCACCGCAGTGATACTGACTTCAACACCCATAGAGTGTATACTAGATTACAAAAATATGGGGTTAGCACATATTATGCTCAAATAACCATACAGGCTTTAAATGTGTTTTATCTTATTCTAATATCTCTTTTTCTCTCTCTCTGCCCAGTAGGGGTCGAAATGATTTGCTCCTTAGCATAAACAAATCAGAAGAAATCCGGAATTTCTTGTGAACTTTAGGATTTTTTTCAGTGTTCTCAAGCGTCAAGCCCATGCCCAACTTTAATCTCATTTTTTGCTCCACGATGCTTTGATTGTTGACATTCTCCGTATGAACACCGATCACGTCTCCAGTTTCACGGTTATTCCGTCCTAGTTTTAATTATGCCTCATCCATTAAACTCAGCGGTTCAGCATCAGGTGACTTTTTTTCTGAAACCCAGAATCCGTTTCATGTACCTGGTTTTCCGAACCGGTTTATAATTATTTTAGGGTAGAAGAGTTTTCATAGCAGTAGGAAATGAACGGAAGTCAATCAAAGTATATTAAAACCAATACCAAACTTATTAATTTCAACTTTAATGCCAAATCAGCTCTGTTGTGTGGATCAGAAATACGGAGAACAAATAAAAAACAATACAAGAGGGTAAGTCAAAAAGTAAGTCACATATAATTGTTAACTAAAGACGATAACAACTGAAAACCATTTATTTTTACACATACACTGTCCTTTTATTTTTCAACATAATTTCCACCAACAATAATGCATATCATCGTTTCATCAGTCCTTCCAAACTTGCTGCATAGAACTGCGTGCTCTGTTTTCTAAACCACATTTTCACTTCACATTAAACTTGTGCGTAATTCGTGAAACGTCTCCCGCCAAGCTGGGTTTACAGTGAACCAAAAACACACAAAACAACATGTTGTTCTTTGAAAGGGTGGGGGGGGGGGGGGGAGCGGGGGGGGGCACACTCCGTAAGTACAGTCGACATTTTTTCTTTGTTTCGCATGCGCATGTAACAGCTAGCGCCACCTAACGAGCAGTAACATAAAGTTGTATTTTGTTGTCACCTAATGACACCTTTAGAAACCATCAATTACATTTTCCTGTCACCCCATAACTATTTGTGACTTACTTATTGACTTCCCATTGAAATAATAAACTATATTCACCAACTGGTGTCTGCACAGAAAAGATGGAATTAAATGGTACGATAGGATCATTACTGTGGAGCTTTGGGAAAGAAGTGAACAAATTCCAGCGAATAAAAGGGGGGCAGATAAGACACATGTTGAGAAAACGTGAGAACAATATAACTAGATGTACTTTACAATGGAATCCATAAGTGCACAGAGAGAAAGGCAGCCCAAAAACACACGGATAAGGGAAAAGAGAAATATAGTGAAGTTAAAAAGATGTCGAGGATCCAGGATGAGCTACAAACTATAGCAACGGATAGGTGGACTTGGAATGAGGTGGCTGTGGTATGCTCCATTGTAAGATAAAATGTGGCAAAAGAAGACTATTTGTTTTATACCTAACTTTTTCATCCAAAGTGGGCTTCTGAAAATTATGTATTTTAATGTGTCCCACGTATCACGACTTTCCGATACTGATTTTTTAAACAGCGTTATTATTCCAAATGTCACTGTTCTAAAACTTTATTATCTCTCAATTTCTTCATTCGAGAACAGCCCCCGATCTATTGAAAATGCACATTTTAAAAGACTTAGTTTTAAACTCATGGTGCATGCAGAACTTTCTTATAGCACAGATAGCATTTGCTGAATTTTTATTCGTTATCTGCGATTTGCTAACACAGTGTTATAGTTCCGACATGCAGATTTCCTCTAGATCCGCAGAACTCAACACGTGGATTCCTGGGTCCCATGTCATACGAAACTATTAGGAACTTGATGAAATCTGGTTAGCTAGCCCGAAAACGTAGTAACTTGAAACATTTTTATTTTTTTTACAGCTTCCACTGTTTTGTATGGTGACTGTTCTCTTTGTATCTGTGACTTATTGGATGATGGGTAGGTGTCCAAGTTGTTTATTTATTTCTCAGCATCTAGAATAAATGACTGCCTTTTGCTATCAGTCTCTGCCCGTTTCTCAGTCTCTGTCTGTCTATGTCCTTCTGTTTTTTTGTTTTGTTTTTGTGGTCTCTTTGGACATATCTCTGTCTGTCTGACTGACTGCGTGAAAGGTTTGCCATTTTCTCTATCTGCCTGTCTGTCTGTCTGGCTCTTCGTCTCTCTGTCTGACTGCCCGTCTATCTGTCTCTCAGTAAATCTCTTTTATCTGTCTGTCATTGTATGTTTCCTGTCCCTCTCGTTCTCTATCTAATTCACTCTCAGAATGTCTGACTAACTCTTTTTAAGTCTGCATACTTAGGAATCTACCAGTTCGCAATTGGTCTGTACTTATGAATATATCTGCATCTATATATGTGTGTAGCAAAGTGTGTCTGTAGGTGCATGTCTGTACATCCAAGTTCATTATATCTAGCGAGGATACAGGGCGTGTTTTCTATGGTTCATTCGTAGCGTCCGGGATTTACTCCTCTTAGACTGACATGCTAATAGTGGCACTTTGAGTCATTCAATGTCATTTTTTTCAGACTGCCATCGTGGAAAAAATAGGGCGGAAAATAAAAAAAAAAATAAAAAAAATTTGAATATGCTTTAATGTCACACTGGTTTATTAATTATTCTAATGGAAGACCCATCTGGGTCATGGGCTATAAGGTATACCTTAAAAATAAAATAATTTGGAAGAGGAAAGCTATCTGAACATGGAGAAATACCCACATGCTGTCGTTCTACAAGACCTGCTGCATGATATTAATACTATACTCTCTCTCTCTCTCTCTCTCTCTCTCTCTCTCTCTCTCTCTCTCTCGCTACACACACACGCGCGCGCGCACACACACATACACATAAATATAAAGTCTGAGTCCGTCTATATATATAATATATATAGACGTACCCAGACTTTTTTAAACAAAACCTTGGCTCCCAGCTCGACCCGGCCTTAAATGGGTAGCAGGTTTAGTCCTGGGAAGTATAGAAGGCCGGCGTGATGCTGACTGACCAAATCACCTATCCAGTGCCATTTGAACTATAAAATGTAGGTGTAGCCCTATATATTCAATATGTCTGAAGGTGTGGAAAAGGGCCCTCTACTTTATATATATATATATGTGTGTGTGTGTGTGTGTGTGTTTATATATTGCTACTGCTACTTCACAGAAGACAGCATTAACGATTGCTCGTATTTTATAGTGCTTCTGTTGCTGCTGCTACTGATATAATTTACTGCTGCTGCTGTTCGTTCTACTTATTCGGTATTTTTACCACTGTTATTCCATTATTACTGCTAACTGCACGTGATTATTACTTCTGATCTGGTTTGACAAACTAAAAAAAAAAAATAATTTGTATTTTGTCTTTGCAGGGCTTAATGACACATTTGAAGCTTTCATGGTTGCCTGTGCCATTAGTTTGTTTGCCGGTGTGGTTTCCGTCAACATTGGTAGGTTAGAAACAATGTCTATATCTGTGAATGCAACTAGACAATGACAATATGTCATCATTATCAAGAGCCTTGTTGATTGGAGCGGGTATCTCCACATGCGTCTCCAGTCACCGATCTTTAACAGCATGGATCAGTTCGTGTGTTGACACTTCTGAATGCCATGACAAAAGACAGTCAACAATTGTCTCGTGTTAACTTTATGTCTCTTTTTCCACAGATCTTTTCAGTTCTCACACTATTTTCCAGTGTCCTTCTTCTCACAACGTGGTTGAAAAATCATGTATGTCTCTTTCTGATGTTTATGATATGTAGTCTTCGAGCCCACGCCTCATTTGAAATATCTGTGTTGCTCTTTTCTTGCTTCCAATAAATTCTTAGGAGTCTTCTGTAAAACCACATCTATGATCTCAAAAAATTGTTTAGCTTGTTTATTAATGTTCCTGTATTTAAAGCCATCTATTTAAACTGGCTCTATATAGCGGGCGAGAATTCTTTTTTAACCCCAAATCACACGGATTAATTGCATAAACTACAAAAAAAAAAAAAAAACAGTAAAAGGGATTTACATGTAAAACTCAGTCCCTGACAACAAGCGGAAGTCCAAATAGACGAACAACCAGGACTTTCCGCCGGAGCTTACAGCCGGTGAAGAAATAAAAATATTAACAACTTGACTAAAGAGACAAAGACGACATAAAATGTGCACGTAGAAAGCTAACAAGAAAGGTACGAAATAATAATATACAAAAGCGTTCCTTCCCAGACAATTAATGGAGAATTACTAAGATTATCTAGTGTCTATTTTACCGAGTGTGGATTGACCCTAAACAAGTTCTGATTGGAAAAATACCGTAATCCTTCCTTTGCATGTATCCGAACCTAAATCACTTTCCTTGGAGTTGAATACACGAAGCACTGTACCACACCATAGTAAACTTTATTGTATTTCATTCACATTCGTGTAACATTACAAGTATTATCTTACAAAAGTGGTGTTAGTTCGACAACAAAGCTATTCTTGAATTGCAAACTATGTTAAGTGTGAAAATAATGGTTTTTAATTAGCGTTAAAAAAAAAGAAATATTATGTACTTACTTCGAATCAAATTCACTAAGTTGTACAGAAACCAGCAGCTTGAAAATTAAAAATAAAAATACATAAATAAATAAATACATAAATAAATAAATAAATAAATAAATAAATAAATAAATAAATAAATAAATAAATAAATAAATAAATAAATAAATAATTAAAACCAAGCTGATGTCAGTGTTAGTTAATATAGCAGACCTGCATGTATGAGATATGCATTTGTATAAATACATACACACATTTAGTACAAGAGAGCTAGAAAGCAGACAAGTATTGAATCGAAAATAGGAGGATAACGATCACCTCAATATCTAGAACACTAGACAGCATTATCAGCAGCAACAGCAACAACAACAGGAACAGCAGATTTAGTAGTAACAACAGCAGTATAAGTAGTAATTGTATCAGTAGGAGCAGTAGCAGCAGCAGCAACAGCAGTAGCAGCAGTCGTAGTTGTTGTTACTGTTGCTGCTGCTGCTACTGCTACTGCCGCTACTATTACTATTTATACTGCTGTTGTTACTATTCACTCGACAACTACTGCTATTAATATTACCACTACCACCACCAACGTTTACCAATAAATCTTGTTTGTCTGCTTCTACTCCACCCTATTCCGTCATCGTTTCAACTCTCCCTACTCCTCCCTGTCCCGCTTCTACTTCTGCTGTTTCATCTATACGAATATTGCTTCCATTAAAAAAAATATGTAAATAAAACTATAGTAGTAGTAGTGGTGGTCGATTTTTACCCCACTAGGACATCACACAAGCGATAAACACCCGATGAAACAAAGTGCCACCATGTGGATGAGGATCACCCGTGGAGAGTTCCCAGAAACCGCGTTTAGCCATTAGACCATATTTATGGCAGAGCTATTTTGCGGCCTATGGCAAAAGCCAGGGTTGGGCTTCAAAATAACGAAAAATTGCATCTCACAATGAGATGGCTGAATATTACAAGCAAAAAAAAAAAAAAAGACTATATACTCTCAGCCACACACACACACACATATATATATATATATTTATATATGGGCTATATACGTGTATATATATATATATATATATATATATATATATATATACACACACACACACACGTATATAGCCTATATATATATATATATATATTATATATATATATTATATATATATATATATATATATATATATATATATATAGTGTGTGTGTGTGTGGCTGAGAGTATATAGTCTTTTTTTTTTATAACCATTTATATATATACTAGCTGTACCCGGCCACGCGTTGCTGTGGCGTAATTTGAGATAGTCTTTGATCCCCCCCCACCCCCCACCCCCCCCCCACAACTAAATCCACCTAGTACCCTCTCCCTCATCAAAGGTTTTTAGAAAAGAAAGACAATGGAAATCGCACCTGTCTAATGAAGTTAATGACGCAGTCACTGTCTGCGCCGACGTCGAGATAGTCCTTGATTGCCCCCCCCCCCCCCCCACCATCGGAAGGTTTGTTTGAAAAAAAAACCAGAACATAGAAATCGTGTTTAATATGGTTATTGTGGCAAATATAGATATAGTCTTGTTTGCTGTACCACGACCTACTCTATGTATTAGTATTAGAGAAGGCGTTGGCTGCACGTAACTCGCCGGCGAATGGTAAATACGGCTCATGCGCAATTACTAACGTGGCTATAATTAGAAATCACTAAAGTTATAAATATTAGTTGCGTATATTTTGGCATTAATTGTGGTCACCTATCTCTAACAGTGACAGGTTGAATTTCAAACCACGACGGTTCAAAATCCGGTATCACAACAAACATATCCTGAAAATTTCAGGTAAATCGGTTCAGTAGTTTCCGAGTCTATAGAGACCAAACAAACACACAAACATTGATTTTTATATATATAGATATATAGATAGATAGTCAGGTTTTCCAACTTTAGAACACGCACCATATAATTGTGTCTTTATATTAGTGGTCGTTTAAATGGTGTTATTAGCACGGTAACAAAAGTAGTTATTTGGTTATCACATGCTAAAGCTGTTTGTATTTTTATAGGAGACGGAAGTAAATCTACAACTGTACTTGTAAATAACAAAGTAAGTCGTAAAAAATAGAAAAGCGGAGGTAGCGTTAGTAAAATATAAACAAATTAGGTAATGAGAACTTGAAAATCACGTGTAAAGCTCTTTAAGTTCTCTTAAATTTAAGTCATTACCCCCCTCCCCTCCCCTCTTCCGCCGACTACTGCTCTCTCTCTCTCTTCAAAGGATTTGAAAATCACTAACTGGCGATATTTTGTTGTTGCTGTAACTGACATCTGGACTAAAATAAGGAGCAGGAATTGTAAAAGGTAGTGAATAGGGCTAGTGAAATATTTACCACATCATTCTTCAAGTACCAGTACAACTACTAAAATAATGTCACTGCTATCTGTGTTACCATAGGAGTAGACAGAGAGTCGTGAGCCAGAAGATTTGGTTCCGCATGGCTAGTGCTGTCGCCACAGACTGGTCAGGTTAGGATGTATAATTTCACTTGCCGACAGAAGAACGCCATAACCTTACCGGCGGTCTTCACATGAGAGCACTATGGTGTAACAGCCCAACCACAACTATTACTGCTGCTGCTACTTTAAGTGGGTAAAGCAGTTACTGTGACTTAAAGCTCTCTCAGTTAATAGTTTGCCCCCCCCCCCCTCTCTCCCCCCCCCCCCAAATTCACCGACAACTCTTTCCCACATTGAAGTAGTTGGGAGAAAAAAAAAAAACATTGGAAAAGCAAATGAACACAGGAAAAAAACACCATAATTAGGAAATGAACGCCATTGTAAACAGCACAGCTTAAAATTCCAACACAGATGAAATAACTAAATCTAAATGAAAATAAATGAAAATCTATAAAATTTCAGCGTAACCATGCAATCGGAAAGTTTAACAATGCAATCATAAGTATGCGAAATGGTCAAATTTAATTATCAAATGGTTTACCCATTTACTGTTTTTTTTTTTTTTAAGGCAACATGGCTAGTGCTGTCACCACGACAGAGCAGATGAGGATATTATTTTAGTCTGGGGTAAAAAAAAAATTTAACTACTGCGGATTCGAACCCACGTTTACCGCACTTGAACCCAGTGTTCTAACCATTCGACCAAGCAGCCACTTTATGGAAACAACGAAAAAAGAAAACAACTATTAGACATATGTGTCCGTACCACTGTGTCGCGATTAAAACACAATTCAAAACCGCAGGCAAATGTTTTCTCGTAGACAGATACTCCAGATATATTAATGAAATAGAAATCGCACGTGTCTAACACGGTTAATGAAGTTAATGTCGCAGTCACTGTCTGCGCCGTCGTCGAGATAGTCCTCGATTGCCCCCCCCCCCCCCCAATCGAAGGTTGTTTGAAAAAAAAAAAGAAAATAGAAATCGTGTTTAATATGGTTATTGTGGCAAATATAAAGATAGTCTTGTTTGCTGTACCACGACCTACTCTATGTATTAGTATTAGAGAAGGCGTTGGCTGCACGTAACTCGCCGGCGAATGGTAAATACGGCGCATGCGCAATTACTAACGTGGCTATAATTAGAAATGACTAAAGTTATAAATATTAGTTGCGTATATTTTGGCATACATTGTGGTCACCTATCTCTAACAGTGATAGGTTGAATTTCAAACCACGACGGTTCAAAATCCGGAATCACAACAAACATATCCTGTAAATTTCAGCTAAATCGGTTCAGTAGTTTCCGAGTCTATAGAGACCAAACAAACACACAAACATTGATTTTTATATATATAGATATATATATATATAAAACCATTTATATATATATATATATATATATATATATATATATCTATATATATATATCAATATATGTATATATATATATTACAATCAGTATTTGTTAAGCATATGTTTTTTTTAAAAAAAAACACTGAAATGATAATTACAATTAGTATTTGTTATGACAATGTATGTTTTTTTTTAATTGTTTCACAAAACATAGGATATCTGCTCTCAGTAATAACAGGGGACACAACACTTGCCTTGTCAGTTGCCTCGCTAGTTATCATCCCCTTTATGATTTTTGGTGGTCCTTTTATGAATGGCGAGTAAGTAAAATGTTTTTGTACTAAATTCTTTGTCTATTAGCTGTTAGTTTATAGAATAGACAGTACGGACTTTCTGAAGATGAACAATGAAGAAACTGAAGAAGACCGCAAAATATATGATGACTTGGAGTGAGTCATTTAAAGGTGTGTACTCCACTGGAAGATATGTAAGAAAGAAGAAGAAGAAGAAAAAGAAAAAGAAAAAGAAGAAGAGAAAAAAAAAAAAAAAAAAAAAAAAAAAAAACAAGAAGAAGAGGAGTTGAGCTGACTCAAGATTGACAATTCAGCACTCGGGTCATTCCAATGCGTGCTCCGTCCTCATCTTCAGCAGCCAGCGCAGAGTTCTAGTACTGATGATACCGGACACTATCTGGTTATTTGTCCGTCTTGCCATTCCTCTGAGTGTAGCGAGCCGGCCAGACCCTCCGGTTACTCCCAGGTGCCTCATTCTCTCCAGGCCATAATAATCTTGTTTGTCCACTGATTCCGTTGCTAGTTCCCAAAGGACATTGACCACATCTGCCTTGTCATGTATCAATTCCCCACCCAGTGGTGCAGAGCCAGTCAATATGTCGGCCTATTAGTTACCCACTACGCCGGAATACCCGGAGAAAAGATCCAAAGTGTTCACACTACCCGTGACATTTCCAGTGAAGCTTGCCACTCTGATCAAAGCATTCCTGTCTTCACCTTTCTCAGCATGCTTTCAGAGTCTATTACAATTACGACATGTGTATGTATCTTGTTCTAAATCCATCGGAGAGCTGCAGTTACCACCTCCACCTCTATTCTCATGCTAGATGATGTGGGTTCGTATGCTAGGCTGTCTTGCACTAAAGATTTACCATTGACTTTCGCTACGAACCCCTAGACACTTCTCTTTCCTCTCAATACAGAACCATCTGTAAAGATAATCAGATAAAGAAGAAGAAGAAAGAAGAAGAAGAAATATCAGTAATAGAAGGAGAAGCATACTTAGTCCTAATGAAAGTAGTGTCTGACTTGATCAAGTGCTCATCCATTGTTTATTTATGCGAATGGGGCATGGATAGTACATCAGTTAAGTTGGATTCATAGGAACGTAATGCTTGCTTGCTTGCTTGTAGCCCACCAGAACATCACACAAGCTATAAACACCCGGCGACACAAAGTGCCACCATGCGGATGAGTATCGCCCGTGGAGAGGTCCATGAAACCCATTTCAGCCTTTATGGTCACATTTGTGGGCCAGCTATATTCAGGGCCCCCGGCAAGAAACCATGATGGGGCTTCACATAACAAAAAATTGCGTCCCAGAAGGGAACGACTTGGATTATGGAACATAATGCCACTGATTGTGTTGCTTGACGGGGGACAGTTAGGAAGAGAATATCTGTTTAAAACAATACTACATATGTGCTAAGATCTGAGCGTCAAGAAAGGAACGCAATAATACATGCGATAACAGCAGTGGTCCTGAAATCCTTTGCAATAATTTTGAAAGACTTTCCTTAACACGAGCGGGTTTTGCTAGTCACACCTGCTATAGCCGTGAGCTATTTTATTTAAGAGATTACTCCTATGCTTTTCTATAACATAATCTAACAGTATCCTTTGCAAAGACGGAAAGGTACCAACATGTCTCTATTTATAAATCGCACAGCAAAGCACTTAAACAGATGCGAAGAATTTGGTGCGGTACATTGGGCAGACTGAATTTCTGGTCATCGATTTGAAAAATCTAGTGAAAAAATGGAGTCAGAGATAGATCACAGATGTAATAAGGCAAATCAAATAATTGGATAGATGTCCCCAATTTTTCGAAACAAACTGTAACAATTGACACTGAAGAAAAATTATTCAGTACACTATTTTTTTTTAAAAATCAACATTATGCTACCAGTGCCAAACGTGGACGTTAACCTAAAAAAAAAAAAAATGGAAAAAGTTGCGACCGAACCAGAACTAAACAATATCAAGAGTCAACAGATCAAATGGTTTGGACATGTTTCATGATTTTTACCAGAAAGTGCTACAGAGGTAGCCCTCTAACTTAGTCATAGCGGAAGAAGACACACAGGTCGACCAGGCCAGCGACTGATAGACGGAATATCCTAGGCGTCGATACCAGCATCCATGTAGTGCAGACCTAGGCTCGCGTCCGATGCCTCTTCATAACCTGTCCCTCAACGGCAGAACAAGACTAGAGGAAAAGAAAACAAAAGATTTGATCAGTTATTTTTATAAACATTAGCTAATAATTGGCTTTTACTGTTTAGTGTGTTTTGTAACATCTTTGTTCAAGCAAGCATTCTTTTATGACAGCTCTACCCCTGATTACTTTGTCTGGATGGACGCCATTTCCTGGTTTAAATATTCTTACGAAATCATGATGATCAACCAATGGGAGGATTTGGACTATATAGGTAAAGTGTTAGATAACTGGCATGTAGCGTTTTTTTTTTAAATGTAGACATACTGTCCGTTAGGCAAACAGAGGTGTAGGCATTTAAAACTACAGACAGACAGAAGTATAGACAAACAGACAACCAGACAGGAGTTACCTAAGAACTGACCCCCATAAGGACACACGATGATCTACGAATAGTTTGAGTCAGATATTCGGCTACATTTTATAGTATTCATGTATTTGACAGAACTAAATCGCTCTCCCAAGTGTACTGGGAGGTGAGAGGCGAGTAGTTAGGAGAAACTTAGTGACTCAGTTTTCTTTTATTGCTGTTTTATCGATAGTTCGAAGAAATGCCCCTACAATGGTTTCATTTCCGTAAACATAACATTGTAAAAAAAAAAAAAAAAAAAAAAAAAAAAAAAAAAAAAAACAAACAGTGGAACTATGTAGCCATATATCTGAATCATGATCTATATTAATATTGACTCCTATGTGCCAAAGTATTCTAGTATGTCATTAAAAACGGTTTAATTTGAAAATAAGAGATTACTAATAAACAGAATAAACCTACTCTATAAAGTGAGTAAGTAAGTTGTACCCCACCAGGACATCACACAAGGGATAAACAACCGGTGACACAAAGTGCCACCAAGCGGATGAGGATCACCCTTGAAGAGGGTTCAGAAACCCCGTTCAACCGTTCGGTTATATTAGGGTATTAGGGCCTCCAGGCAACAGCCGGGGGGGGGGGGGGGCTTCAAATAACAATAAATTGCGTCCCACAGGGGGGACGACCATTTTAGCGTGATACTCCATAAAAGGACACTGAATCTGATTGAATCGCATTAGCATGTGTAATAATAGTAAGGTCTGTTTAAAGAATATGGGACTCAGTCTATAATTTGAATAGACTAATCGGAACCGGGTGGATGGTGATGTCATCATGATGCCTACTGCTTTTACTCCCCACGATTTCTAGGGAACTCTGTGAGCATGATTCTTTAGCGGGTCGAGACAAGCTCTGTACCGAAACAGTAGACTGAGTCATTGCGGAACTTCACTGTGTGTGGAATAACCTTCATCTTTGTTTCTATGGAATGTGGGTGTTGTTGGCAGTAAAAGAGCTTATCATTGGTCGGCTCTGTGTTAGTTGCAGACTGCCGGCCTTTGAATTGCCGTTATATCGTTAACGTCTTGAGAGAGAGAGAGAGAGAGAGAGAGAGAGAGAGAGAGAGAGAGAGAGAGAGAGAGAGAGAGAGAGAGAGAGAGAGAGCACAAGGTTAGGTCATTAGGAGCAGTACGTCCTGTCGCTGTTATAAATTCGAGAACTAGGAGTAAAGATTGACACAAACAGGCACGAAAGTCATTATGGACGTACACGTAAGTCATGTAAATCAGCATAGACCTGGCAACATTAACTGCTAGACGACGATGTTTTTGTTTAGGGGTGAGTTTGAGCACCAATGGACATGTCTGAAGTGCCATGTATATAACATACTTATATTGCACAACGTCCCATAACATTTTCCGATAACGATTTTTAGCCTCGGTTTACCCGAGGGCCTAGATGCGTTAAAAAAAAATACTCGTCTGATTCTAATCTATGACATTAGTGTTGACAAGCAAAAGTTAGCCAGTGTTCAGCCACGTCCACCAGCTAGCCTAGTTCAGTTTGTTTGGAACGACCGAGTTGTTAGCGATTTCTTGCTGACTTGTTTGTGTTGGACCTCTATAGCATGCGAAAACAAGACCGTCAGTGCAAATGCCACACAAGATGAGATCTGTGATGCCCAGAAGTGTCTCTTCAGTAATGGACTTGAGGTGTTAGACTACAACAGCATGGATAAGGTATGTATCAGTATGACATTAGCTATCTAGTCTTTGTCTGTCTCCTCAGTAATGGAACTGAGGTGTTAGACTACAACAGCATGGATAAGGTATGTATCAGTATGACATTAGCTATCTAGTCTTTGTCTGTCTCCTCAGTAATGGACCTGAGGTGTTAGACTACAACAGCATGGATAAGGTATGTATCAGTATGACATTAGCTATCTAGTCTTTGTCTGTCTCCTCAGTAATGGACCTGAGGTGTTAGACTACAACAGCATGGATAAGGTATGTATCAGTATGGCATTAGCTATCTCGTCTTTGTCTGTCTCCTCAGTAATGGACCTGAGGTGTTAGACGACAACAGCATGGATAAGGTATGTATCAGTATGACATTAGTTATCTCGTCTTCTGTCTACATATAAGGGCCACAATACACCAGTTTTCTGTCTTTTATTTAATAACTTTTTAAAATTACGGTTGTTGTGTGAAAGATGCGTTTTTGGAAATGCCAAGTGTGCAGTATGTGACCATCTAAAAATGAAACTCGTTCGTTGATTAGTTCTTGGTTCTTCCGTTTATTATCTCTCTCTCTCTCTCTCTCTCTCTCTCTCTCTCTCTCTCTCTCTCTCTCTCTCTCTCTCTCTCACTCACATACACACACACACACACGCACACGCACACACAGACATACAAACACTCTCCCTCTTTTTACATTAGTGTGTGTTACCGTTGCTATCTGACATCGTGCTTCATCTTATACAGTACAGTCCAGCGGTATTTAGTGGTGTTGTATACATGTGCTTATAAGATGTCGTGCTGTTACATAAAGTGCCTTTTTATAAGTGAGGTAAATGGCGTAACACTTACCTGATTTATGTAAGAGCTGGACGCTTACACAGGTGATTTGCTTTTATCTTCCGAATATGTACTAAGGCGTTACTTTGGTGAGAGCTTGGAAAGCAGTTTAAGTACATGTTTGTTCTTCTCCTGGAGAAAGTTCTGGTTGTTCGTCCACCTTTCCACTTTAGCCTTGTTCCAGAACCTGACTTCTGCATGCAGATCCGTTTACACATGTGACTTATTTGTTTGTAGACTATTGGTTTCTCGCTTCATGTGAGCTTCAAATTCGGAGGATGGTAAATGTTGGAAAAGACAAACTAATTTCCCCTCTAAATTAAAGACACGCGTGTGTATGTGTATCGCGGCGTCCGTGGCTTAGGCATTACGAGTCCGGCTCGTAATTCCAACGTACCGCGATCGAAACCCACTGCTGGCTGCGTGGATTTTAATTATGGTATGGGGCGTCGCAGGTCGACCCAGCCTAAAATGGGTACCAGGATGGCTGTCCTGGGGAAGTAAAGACGATAGAGTAATGCTGACCACATTACCCACCTAGTGTCAGTGGTCTGTAAAAATATGGCCGCTCTTCCTATATGCCTGATACGCCTATAGGCGTAAAAAGGGATGTTTACTTTTTTCTTACTCATGTGCATGTGTGTAGATATATGTATATATATATCTATATATATATATATATATATATATATATATATATATATATATATATATATATATATATATATATATATATATAATAACCAGATATATTTATATACACACACATACACGTGTGTGTGTATGTGTGTGTGTGTGTGCGCGCGCGCGTGTGCATGCATGTGTGACATGTGGGCAAGTAATAATTCTGGCTGTTTTCGACACCTCCGTGTCAGACACTGTCAATAATTTGTGCCTACAATCTGCCAAATTGTCTAATATATTCTCTCTTGCCATTCCCCCCTCTCTCCCTTACCCCTCTCGCCCTTCTTCGCCCTCCCCGTACTCCAGTTTTCCTCTTCTTTTAGCGTGCCTAAAGAATGCGGGTCGTCTTTTTTTCCCCCTAAAGCGGGTAATTAGCTTTACATATTGCTTATTCAGTGCATTAGATCTCGAAAATAACATGTCCTATATCTTTTATTTTAGGATGACGTGGGAAAGGATCTTGCCATCCTAGGAGCCATATGCGCAGGTGTGTACTTGGTCACATTCGTGTTTCTCCTGATACGGGCGAAGAGGTCCAAGGAATAAGCTCCCCGAACAACGGTCACCGTCTTCTTGATTCCCACAGTGGAAGGACGCCATCATATTGCACGATCACTGTTTTTCCTTCTTGTTAACATCATTAGTAAATATTTTCAGTAATATTATTTTTACTCTATGTCTAGTGACGTAGTCCTTCATCTCTAGAAAAGTTTATTACATTGTATTTATTTATGACTGATGATTATTTGGTGTGGAATTGTGCCACGGGACCGCTACGGTTGCCATGATGGCCATCCTGGGTCACCCTGAAACGTCCTGGCCATCGGGGCTCTGGTGAAGTTGCGACAAGCCTAGCAAAACGGCAGTGGATTTAATGCCACTACAACAAGTACAGTGAAATATAAACGAGCCTTCTGATTTTATACCATACAAGGCCAATACTAAAAAGAAGAGGGGGACGTAGAGCAAGAGGTAGATCAAGAACAAGATTGGAAGATAACATCAGAGAAACGTTGCAGCACCACGATGTGTCTATGGTCCAGGCAGCCAGAAGAGCACATATCAGGACCTTATATCCCCCTCGACACCCGAAGCGCTAAAAGAGGATGTAGAGAAAAAGGTGAAGAAGAAGATGATTAATTGTTATGATTAACACCTTTCCGTCTTTCCAGACGATAGTGTTATATTGTCCTTTGAGAAGGCATGGGACTCACAGCCCATAGCGATGGCGAGTGTTAAGAAAATTCTTCTTTCCCAATTATAGCTTGGGATTTCATGACCATTGTTGTCAACATTTTTGTTTAGTCTCATTCGTCTCAGACGTTCAGCTTTCCTCCTTTCTGCAAACATTTCTTCCTTTATTATCATTCCCTTCCTGATGTGCCCCCCTCCCCTCCACACAACCCTCCACAGAACATTGTCCATTTCGTTTTGTTCCTACATGTCAACCTCAATGCCTATATCATTCATGTCCCACGTTCAAACATCTTTATATCGTAGGAGAGGCCGGCCTCGCCATCTATCCAAAATTTATCTATATGCCCCTAAATTATCCAGAAGACATATTTAATCACACACTACACACACACACTTACACACACTCACACACTCACACACACACACAAAGGCAGTTGAAGTAGACCACTTACTAATTGGATTGTGAATTTTTTTTAAAATTACTAATACCATCTTAATATGGTCACCATGGTAGAGCACCCTAGCCCCATATTTTCCAATCTGAATAAACAATACCACAGATAAGCGAAGAACTATATCATCAAATGTGATCTGGTATAGAAAGAAAGTAATTCCCCACTAATCCCCGAAAGATTATGGTAGGATACCTCTGGCTGAACCGTCAGGAAGAAAAAATACTCGAGAGACCAACACTAACCACGAGCATGCATACTTCACTGCCAATCTGATGGTTAAGATTCCGAATCCTGACTGAGACATGGTGATTCATTTTAGATCTACTAAATGTAGCCTAAAGTATGCAGGTGCGAAATTCCCGAGAAGTATAGGCAGCTAGCGTGACCCTTACTAGGTCGCCTACCTAGTAGCATTCGGTCATTAACTAATCATGAGTCCAATAAACAACACGGTCTAGGGAAAAATAGGTTCCTTTATTTATTAACAACTCCAAGAGTGCAGTCACATCATTGATTATAAAAATACATAAATTATGGTAACTAAAACCAACAATATAAAAATTAGATGACCTGACTGATTCTTATCATTGCATGAATGGTTGTCGTTCGTCCCATAGCACCTTTCCGTCTTTTCAGAGAGAGCGTTATATACCGTTGTGTTTAGTCTGTTTCGTCTAAGATAGCGTTATATACAGTTGTGTTTAGTCTGTTTCGTCTTAGATAGCGTTATATACCGCTGTGTTTAGTCTGTTTCGTATTAGATAGCGTTATATACCGTTGTGTTTAGTCTGTTTCGTATTAGATAGCGTTATATACCGTTGTGTTTAGTCTGTTTCGTCTTAGATGGCGTTATATACCGTTGTGTTTAGTCTGTTTCGTCTTAGATAGTGTTATAAAGCGTTGTGTTTAGTCTGTTTCGTCTTAGATAGTGTTACAAAGCGTTGTGTTTAGTCTGTTTCGTCTTAGATAGTGGTATATACCGTTGTGTTTAGTCTGTTTCGTCTTAGTAGTGGTATATACCGTTGTGTTTAGTCTGTTTCGTCTCAAATAGCGTTATATAGCGTTGTGTTTAGTCTGTTTCTTTTCAAATAGCGTTATATAGCGTTGTGTTTAGTATGTGTTTCGTCTCAAATAGCGCTATATAGCGTTGTGTTTAGTCTGTTTCGTCTCAGATAGCGTTATATACCGTTGTGTTTAGTCTGTTTCGTCTCAGATAGCGTTATATACCGTTGTGTTTAGTCTGTTTCGTCTCAGACAGCGTTATATACCGTTGTGTTTAGTCTGTTTCGTCTCAAATAGCGTTATATACCATTGTGTTTAGTCTGTTTCGTCTCAAATAGCGTCACATTTCGTTGCGTTTAGTCTGTTTCGTCTCAGATAGCGTTATATAGCGTTGTGTTTAGCCTGTTTCGTCTCAGATAGCGTTATATAGCGTTGTGTTTAGTCTGTTTCGTCTCAAATAGCCTTATAAACCGTTGTGTTTAGTCTGTTTTGTCTCAGATAGCGTTATATAGCGTTGTACTCTGTTTTATCTTAGATAAAGTTATATAGCGTTGTGTTTAGTCAGTTTTGTCTCAGACGTTCAGCTCTTCTCCTTTCTACTATAATTTCTACCTTTATTCTCATTCCTTTCCTGATGTTCCCACTCCACAGAACACTGTCTATGGCATTATGTTCCCACGAGACCACCTCAATACCTGTACCATTCATGTCCCGTTTGCACACATCTTTATATCGCACCCTTGTGAGGAGACATGGAACTCACAGCCCATGGCGATGGCGAGTGAGACTAGCAAATCACACGCTAAGAAAAGTCTTCTACAATTAGAACATCGGATTTCAGGGCCATTGATTCCATCACCTGTATTTAATGCACTTCTGAGACACTCAGCTCTCATTCTTTCTGCATTAATAACTTCCGGTATTCTCATCCCCGCCCGTCACCCCCCCCCCCCACCCCCCCCCACTCCCCTCTCACGCAACACGGCACATGACACTTTGTTCCTATGAATCTGCCTCAATGCCTGTAACATTCATGTCCCGCTTGCACACATGTTTTCAATGTAGCCGAGACTGGCCTAGACATAGTATACCCCTCTGTAATTCACCATGGAGAATGTCTACTGGGACTCTACCCTCCTACATTCTCCAGGTGTGACCCAGTAACCTGAGCCTTCAGAGACTTGTAATACTGCTCTCCCCAATACCTCAGTGCTTGTGATCTTGTCTTGCCACCTAATGCCAATTACTCTTCTTATGCATCGCATGTGAAAGCTTTTTTCAGCCCTTTTACCTAGTGCGAAAAAAGTTGGTCAAGTTTCACTGCCATAAAGAAGAATGCTGAAAACTCAGGCCTAATAAACAAGCTTTTTAATCGTGAGCTTTCCGTTCTCCTAAACTTATTATATTAATCTGCTCATCATAGTTGCTGCTTTACCTATCCCGATGTTGATTTCCAGGTCCAACAATTCACTGTTAATCTCAGATATCTGAAAAAGTCAACTATCTCCTTGTCTTCACCATTAGTATAGACTGTAGGTCTATAATTAACATCTAACACCTTACACCCTAAGTTATGTCTTCATTTTTCTGGTTGTTAGTTCACATTCATAGCACGCATCAGCACATGCAGATAGTACACATTGTAGCTGCCCCTCTGAGTGGGTGGTAATTATTGCATCATCTGCAGACATTAGCTCTCTGGTAAGCTCCTTCCTTCTCCTGTTTTTGGCTATCAGCTTACGAGCATTGTAGAGGCTGCTGTCAGATCGGCAGCTGATGAAAATACCACCCTCCTCTTCTCGAAAGGCATGTTTTAGAAGGAGCGTCTGACAACAGAGCATAAATAATGAGATGCGATCCCATCTCAGATCTAATTTCCACTTGATTTCCTGAAACTATTTTTTTTTTTTTTAGTACAATTTTGTGCTCTTATTTCGATGTGTTTACTGCACAGTAAAAACATTTAATGGTTTTGGAGTTTATATTTAGTAAAATAAAAACTATGAGTGGATTCATGTGTAACACAGTAAACTGAGAGCGATGTAAGACAACGCAAAATATGGAACGATATCTTTAAGAACAACTTTAAGGAACATAAGATCGACTTAAGCAACGCATTAGAAAGAGCACGTAAAAGAACCTGACATCTGTCTGCGACACTTCGATGAGGAAGCTGGAGGAATTGAAGAAGTATACTGTTACTGATAACTAGCTATAAAACGTGAATTGTATATGTTCTTGTGTAGTCCTGTAAAATTATATGTATCTATTTATCAGTATATTTTTCCCCCAATTGTTTTGGTTTGATTTTCAGTTTCCAAACATTATCGCCATCGCCATTATCATCTTCATCATCATAATCATCATCGTCGTAGTCTTCATCGTCATCATCCCACTACCATGGCTCCCCTTGTAACTTGTGATGTTGGTGTGAAGTATCTAGAGTGTGTTTTGTATGGACCCTGTATTGCTTTCTGTTCACTGTTCATCGTGGTTGGCCTCTCTTTCAATTTCCAATATAACTCTTTTTGGGAATAGTTATTGAAAAAGCTCGATTTTTTTTCATATATTTTCTTTGCAATGATGTATAGATTCACAATAACACAAGAATGCTTTCTTTCAAATAAATCATTGAGCAGTCTTAAAAAGTAAATATTCTTATGTCGATAACTTTAATTTGTTGACCAATATAACTATATCTCGTGTCTCTTCTCATATACCAGTATTTTCTTTCCTTCGTATTTTAAATACGAACTTGTGAGTCAGGTGATCAAAATAATGTATGTATATTATTTAGTTTTTCCGTAACAATTTCACATATTAATTACAATCCCCTTCCCATAGTAATTTGAGCATGCTATATTTATATTAAATATATTTTATGGGTATACA